GATTAAATGAGGGGCTGAAGGGACTTGTATAACATCAAGAGGGAGGAGGGATAAGAAGAGTGTAATTATCTGTTGAAAAAGTCAGAAGTCATTCATGCATTTCCTTAATTTTAGGTTTTTTTCTCTTTTTTACCCCTCTCTCTCTCTCTCTCCTTTTTTCCTTTTTTCTTTCAACTTGTCTTTTATTCTATGAAAAAAATCTTAATAAATATAAATTTAAAAAAAGATGCAAGCTCCATTAACAAAGCAACGAGGAGAAAAATGTATCTTAAGTCCAGAAGCGGCAGATAGCATTCATAAGCAGCTCAGACTGACATATCCCTAATTCAAAACAGTATAAAAAAAAGGAGGATATACAACACTTGCAAGATTCTGTTATTCTAGCCAAATTCAATAGAAGTAGTTTAGCCTTCTTACGGAATTGATTTCTTGGTCTGATTTACCTAGTAGGGCTGACATCATTGAACAACATTTTGTTGGATAGGGCCCAATGTTTAAGTCTATCAAAATCCTTTCAACTTTGAGCCTATGTTCTGGGATGTTAGCAATCACCCTCAGCTTTGTGTTATCTACAATTTTTATGAACATCCCTTCCATTCCCTCATCTAAGTTATTTATGAAAATATTGAAGAGTATTTGGTATAGGACTGAACGCTGAGGTACCTCACTGCATCCCTCTTCATGTGGATGTAAACCCATTAAGGAGCATGCATTGGCTACAGCTATTCAGCAGCCACTGCAAATTCTTCTGGTGGTGGACCATCCATCCCACATTGTTCAAGTTTATCAAGAAGGAAGGTATGGTCTACTTCATCAAAAGCTTTACTAAAGTCTAAGTATACCACTTCCACAGCATTCTCTTGGTCCACTAATCTACACACATTGTTAAAGAAAGCAATACAATTTGTCTGCTACAACTTTTTTTAAAGAATCCATCCTGACTTCTGGTAAACCTGTTAGTTCCTAGGTACTTGCAAGCCCACTTCTTATCTTTTCTAGAATTTTCCCAAGTATTAATGTCTGTAGTTGGATTAGATTGGTCTGTAGTTTCCTGACAAGCTGGCTGATAAACAAAAACGCCATCATTGCATCATGCACTGATAGCTTCACTCTAAGAACTAGGCAAGTACAGTGCAAAACCAAGAGGATCCTGCCACCATACAAGAAAGTCCATCAGCCCCAATATCTCTGGAGTAGGCAGAACTAATTATTGGAACTTGAAACACCAACAACAAAAATAGTGAAAACAGGTAACATTAAAAAAAAAAAAATCTGTAAAGGGAGAGGGCCACCTTTTGTTTGTTTGTTTTTCATCACAGGGTGATGAAGAGCAAGGTGGGCCTGTGAGGCTCAGACAATAGAAATTCATAATAAATTTTTCTCTTGAGCCTCAAAGATGACATTTGTAATCTTGGAAAGTAACAGAATAATAATGTTGTTCTTACACTGAAGGCAATGGAAGGGAAGAAGACGGACCCAGGAAACTTGCAGACCTGTCAGTTTAATATCTTTGCTGCAAATGGTCCTCAGGCAGGCTATTAAACATGTATGTGAGCACTTGAACACCAATACAACAATTAACAAGGACCAACATGGATTTGTCACAAATAAATCATGCAAGACTAACCTTATCAACATTTATTTTCAGAGTTACAGTACTAACTTAACACATACGGAGAATGCCATGGGCATAGAATACCTTAATCTCAGCAAAGCATTCAACAAATTCTCATGATATCCTTGTGAATACAATGGTAAAATATGGCCTAAATAATATAAACTTTAGATGGATTCATAATTGGCATCCAAAGAGTACTCATAAATGGTTCCACATCAAGCTTGAATAACAGTAGTATTGTATGACACTGGATTGTAAGGTTTGCCCCATTCGACAGAGAAACTCCCGTGACACGTGTGGTTCACGAAAAGTGGTTAACTCATGCGTAACGTAGCGGTTAC